AAAAATGGGGCAAGTCTGAGATGACAGTGCTCTATTCATTCAGGGGAATTGTAAGTCACTTTACCACCAGAGATGATCTTAAACTTTTGGTTACTAAGATATTTTCAAACATCCATTTGATCGTCAATATAGAAATTAGTCAAATTTTAAGATGAATTAATGAGTTATATTTGTTAGTATATATTCTTTAAGATTTCTCTTTGCTTTAATTTATACTATGATAGAAGATTGAGATAAACACATAAAATCCAGTGAAAATCCAGGTCAGATTTTACTTCTGGTTAAACAGAAAATCTTGAAAGTTTGCCAAATTGATATGTGTTTTAGCTTTAAAATTATTTTCTATTCCTGTGGGTTGGTGCTAATGTATTTCTTATTTTTATTTATTGACAATGCAACTCTACTATGGATAATTTTATTTGTCTATACGATAGCATTCCTAAATTCTTAGTGTGTGATTTTTTTTCTTTAAAGTTCATGAATTTGCTATAATTATGGTTCGATGACCAGCTTTTCTTAATGTAAAAAGTGTACCTGTAGACTGATGTGTGTTTATTCAGACTGTGGTCCCCTTATTTTATTTTATGTTCACTTCATTTCTTGTATGCTTTACAATCATTTTCACTCATTTCATCTCTTTCATTTACTCATCCAGCCTCTAGAATTTCACTATACATGACAAACCTAAAGTTAAAAAGTCTGCACATACCATATAGAATACCTAGTGCAGAAATATGCTTAAAATCTTTTTCAGTCTTCATGTTTCAGTATCCAAAGCATTTTTGAATAATTTTTCTTTATCATGTGCTCTTACAGAAAGCATTGTAATATCTTTTTCAGACAATACCATGGTAAAGATCCTATTTTTTTAGCTCATAGTCCATGCATATGATGTTATAGAGGTACAGAAAAATCATGCCTCAAGTAGTTTGTACCACATGTCCTGCATTTACAAAATGTATGTATATATATGCTAATTTGAAAAATGGTCAAATCAGTATGTCTATCAATGAGAAGCTTTCTGTGATATCTTGTATTTTTATCACTTAGGAAATGTGCTTAATATGTAAAATTTTGCTATTATTCTTGCAGCATAAACAGTTAACAGTCTTTGTACTTTAAAAAAAAAAAGCCCTATTCATTGTCTTACCCACTCAGAACTTATTATTGTTCCATGGCATTGTTTTAATGAGTTCTAGTAAGTGATCATGAGGAACATGCAGATGCTGATATTTGAAACTTTGATGATCAAATGTTACGATTTAGTACTACCCAAAAAAAAGATTTCCCACAAGCAAAAGCCCTAGGAAATCAAGTCCATAAGAACTTTGCCTTCTTTTTGAAAAGAAGATAATCTCAGTCTCATGGGATTATGGTTGCTAAAATTGTACATCGCTACTAGAATTAACATGCATAACCTGTTACGGTCGTAGTCAGCTGCTTTCTAATAGAAGGACCTTCAGTCCTCGCTTCTTCCCATTTTTCTTGAAATAACTGCCTAACAACTAGATTTATGGTATATCAGAAAGCACTTATTTCTCTAACTTAAAATTTTTACTGCATTTGGGGTTTGCTAATCCAAAACCACTGTGTATTTTAATGGCAATTTTTCCATTTTAAAAACAACAAAAAAAAGTGTAATACTTTCTATGCTGCTTATTAACGAAAGTATCCTTTTGAGAATAGGAAGTTTTCAACCTGACCTATTATTCTTGATTTGCTAGCAGTGAAGAAAGTGCCAACATTTCTCAACTGAGGTGAGATTTTCATGTATCTTAATGGATTGGATTCACAAAAGAATGTCTTACATATTGTGGCATTTATGTGAATATTCCTTATAATGTTGTAAATGTTTCATTCAACTTAACATTTTTTGAAAGATGTATTTGATTTTTCTTTAGAAATATATTTTTATTTGTATTTTTTACATTTTAAAGTTCATCTCTATGGGCAGCTATTTTTATATTGCCAAAAACTGACATAAATACAAGAGAAAAATGCAGAAAAAAAAAAAACCTTTTGGCAAACATGACACTGCTTATTTTTGTTAATGTTTCATGGGCCAGTCTCACATATTTGATCATTTTAATGATGTGTTGTGACTTATCACTGTAAATATGGCACAACTCTGTTTATCTCAAAAGTGTAAATAATTGAACTCTCCCTGTTTGATTTCTTATTTCAATTTCATTGTTTCTCTTGATGACATTACTGGATCAAAGAACATAAGGGTTTTGATTTGCAGTTTGGATACAATTGCATTTGTGTTCAGCTTCTAATTTGTTTTTACTTGCTGTTTTAAACTTGTTTTCAGGGTTCCTAGTTGTTGAGAAGTTGATCTTCAGGATTATTTTTACACTATTTATGACTTATTTTCATAATGTAAAAAGTGTGTAATTATTAAATATTAATCCAAACTAATGGGTTTAGTTATTATAAAGCTTTATTGATGTTCATGAAAATCTGGACCTGTCTTCTTTGATGCAGAGAGAAAACTTAAGAACTTCTATTCTGCCCTTCTACAGTATTGTCATGCCACCATCTAATTTAGTGCACATCCTTGGCTGCCATGATTTTCAACCTGGGAAGTGATCATGCTGGCAGGCTGTTTGTCCTCCAACTTCATTCTCCTCCAGGATGCCCTGTCTTGAGACTATCTTACATTCAGTACATATCCACTCGCTCCCCATCAAATTAGTCTTCTTCATTGTGTGATTCCAATGTAAACATAATCATCCAGCAGTACTAACTGGATGATCAGTGACTTAACACATCCACTATGCCATCCATTTGTTCCAAGTGTGCAACAGGAGCAACAAGGACTCATCCTTGCTCATCTTGCCAGCACAGCAGCCTGAGATGCAGCCGACTATGGCCACCCTCCCCACCATGCTCCTTAGTTCCCATGTCCCTGTACCCGCTGGCTTCATCTTGCCTTCCCTTCCCATTTTGCTCTGCCAGCCCTTCCTCTACCAGTAGCCTGTGCTACATCACTGTCACACTTGCTGCCTCTCCAGAATTCACAGGCTTCTCCTCAAGGCCATGTTTCTGTCTCTGTGAAGATATCGTTGATTTCCAGATCTGGAAATACTGGATACATCATACAGTGGAAATACATCATACAGTGCTTGGGTCCTGTCATCAACATGGGATACACCGAATGGAGTTTCTGGCATCTGGATTCAACCTAGCTCATCCTGTTCCCCAGTGCCAAGTCACTGCAGCCATTTGGAGAATGAACCAGAAAACCCAAGATTCATTTTCATTCTCTCCCCTACTCCTTCCACCCCTCCTTCCTCTTCCCTACCTCTCTGCTTTGCCTTTGCTCCCTCCACCTGTCCCTCCCTCCATTCACCTCTCCCTCTCCTTCCCTTTTCCTCTCCCTGTCCCTCTAACTATGCCTTTCAAATAAATATCTTTAAAAATATGTGAACATATTCTCTTACAGTTCCATAGTTGAGCAGTCCAAAACACACTTCCAAAATGGACTGGGCTGAAATGAAGCTGCAAGAAATGCATTTCTTTTCTGTGATAGAGGGTCCCTTGCCTTGCCTTTTCCAGTTTCCTGGCTCTCCCTCTTCTGTCTTCCCCTGCCTCTATTTAGGACTCTGTGATTAACTGGACCCGCCAGGTAACCCAGGATAGCCTTTCTATTTCAAGGTCAGTGGATCAGCAACCTTAATTTCATCTGCAAGCCTAATTCCTCTTTGGTACACAGTATACTGTATTAGCAATTTTCAGAGAGCAAAAGACGAACATCTCTGGGGAGTGTTATTCTCCCTAGCACAATGCCATTTCTCTCTGTCTCTCTTTCTCTATATATGTGTACACACACACACATTATATATATATATGTATATATACACTATATATATACACTCTATATATGTGCGTCTGTAAACCAAAAAACAAATCACAAATTCTACTATATTGACATGGCATAACATTACAACTTTTTCATAAAATAAAGATGCTATTTGCATCTTGTACTTTCCACATGCCCTACTATTAAGAAAATGTAGAACTGTTATTATGCTAAAACTTGACAAATATTTAGTGACTTGTTCAAAATAGTTTTTACTTTTAGTGTTCTCAGCAGGATTTTTTTTTAGCCTTGATTTATTTTAGGCTGTTTCAGAATTCCCTAACAGCGTATGACAGGATGCTACTATAACTGGCTGTCACACTTAACCCTAATCATTTTACATTACAAAATATTCTCTCTTTTAAACAGAGTTGAGCTTCAAAACAGTCCGAACAGTGGCCTAGGGCTAGTCAGTAAATAAGTAACTGAGTGAGGATTTCAGTTCCAGACAATTGTTACAGCTTTACCATTCTGCCCCACAGAAGGGGAAGGATTCATGCATGAACAATAAGCAGCAAAAACACTGCCTTATGTTTCCATAGCACTTTAAATTCCTTCCTGACAATTGTATCTGATTCTCTGATTAACTACCAAAGATGCCTAATAGTCTACCAATATTTTCATTTGTGAAAAGTGTCCAAAGAGAATCAGCCAAGGAAATATAAAGGTAATGGCAGATTCTGGAACTAGAAAATTCCAATATTTAGACACACTCTAAAATGAGGAGCAAAAAAAACTCCAAAAGCAGTGTCCAAAAGCCCTTTTAGCATGTATTTTTCACGAGATGTTTTGAAGCAAGTGAAATTCTAAATCCTCATCATTTTCTTCTGAGAATCTTCCCATTTTACAATAGTTTAAGAATGTTGGTTCTAAAATGTCCTCATCTGATGCTTGCAAACTCCTTGGCATCCAGATCTTCTGCAACCACTTCCTAAGGCCGTGTATCTGACCTTCATGGGCCTGGGGTTCCTAATCTGTAAAATGGAAATGATGAAATCACATACATCAAGAAGTGAGTTAAAACACATGTTTAGTGAGCTAATTCATACACATGGGTAGGTCCATCCACAAAAAATTCACTAACTTTTACTCTCTGGAATAAAAGTTTCTATTACTGTACTAGAAAGTTTGCAGTGATAAAAATGTTCTGTTTTATTCTCTGAAACTGAGATATTTCTTGTTAAAGCCTAAATATTTTTTCCTGCAATTCATTGACCATTTCGATATCTAAGAAGAATTTTCATATACTGTATATAAGCTTCAATACTAATTCTGATGTAAAAGCTAATGAATGACTGGAATTGGCACGCTGGCATCCCATAGCAGAGTTCCTGGGTCTGAGTTCTGATCCCACTGCAGTTCCAGCTTCCTATCAATGTGTGGATACTTGGAGACAGTGTTTGAGTGCTGGGAGATCAGGATTGAGTGCCCAGATCTTGGCCCAGCCCCATTGGTGTGGTCCTCTGGGGAGTGACTAGCAGCCAGAACATCTGTTTATCCCCTATCTCCCCCTGCTTCCTTACCAAAAAAAAAAAAAAAAAAATTAATGAGAAAATAAGATAGCTTGCTTTTGACAACCTGAGCTCAAAAGACATAACTATGGCTCCCCAAAATAACAACATTCTTGGATGAGGATAATGCAATTATGGATAGGAGAAAGACGCAAGATTCTCAGAAATGCACAATTAGAGGGAAAGCCATAAAAAGGCAGTTGTATAAAGAGACACTGAAAAACAGGCATGTGGCATGAACCAGACAAGTTGTCAGACAAGCTAGAATTCCATGTTTTTTTTTTTTTTCTCATTTCCAGGTGACAGAACACTTATATAACCCTGAACTTTGGCATTCCCAACCCGGCACTATGCAACACATTGTAGTATTAACAAAGGCAAATAATTAACACACAACTTAGGGTGATTACCTTTTCTTGATCTGTTCTACTTCTGCTCAGATTTTAATATAGCAGATTTTATCAACATGCTGTAAAAGTTAACTCATTAACACCCTTGTCAGAGATAACTACAGCGTGCTTTTTTTCTTAAGTACTTCTGAGGCATTTTCACTAAATACAGCTGATTTATGTACAAAATGTAACACTAAGCATCACCCATGATGCCTCCTCTTAGACTTAGTCTAAGGTCTAAGTCTTAGTTCCTTAGAATTCCAGGCACTTTCTTCTTTAACAGCAGGGATAGATTCACAATGAAACAAAAATTGCTCTTGTTTAAGGTTATCTAAGGTCGATGGCATGAATTTGAACCACTACCATGTCCAAACCTAACTTGTTCCTTAGCTCAATGTAATGTGGACACTTCGTGATCAAAATCAGGTCAATTATCTGAGTTCAACAGTCACAGAGGGCTACTGTCAAGCTCAGTGAAAAATAAGACACGAATTCATAAACTATGGGAGTAAAGAGCTAATAGGGATGTCATTTCATGAGTACCACATCACATTTTACTCAACTATCAAGGGTTTTTCCTCATTTAACCCTTATAATCACATGACATATTAAATACTTCCTATATCTTAGTTTACACATTAAAATGAGTCATTCACACATGGTCATATAACTGAAAACTAACAGCTAGAATTTAAAACTACAACATCTCATGTTCCCCTACAGCATGGCAACTAATGGCCTTACAGCCCATGCAAAGTTAGAGACCTGTTCATGATACAAAGAACATTTGTCCAAAACACTCCATTTCTCACTCTGATTCAAGAACACGAACAAGGGATAGAAATGGGTTTATGATAGGTATCAATGACCACATTCAGGACCCCAAAAGTCCACAGGCAGCTAGAACTAATCAAGAAGATTGGAGATGAGCACTGTCTTCTTTGCCAAAACCCATAAGAAATGAAGGAACCATGATACTTGATACAGTGTTTTCTGTCACCTCCTTCATACATATCAAATCCCATAGTAAATTGAACCACCACTATCACTTGATGAGTTTCCCATTTCCAAAGGCTAGCCACAGATCAATAGGTGCCTCCTTTGAAATAAACATTTCTTTATCAAAGCACACCTAAATGCAAGAAAACATCTATTTTCAGTTGTCAAACTGAAACAATCTTCAAAGATAACTGGAGCCAGACAACAGTACAAAGCTACATATATGCAAATATTACATACATATAAATATAAAATCTTCCAAGAGGTCTTCAAAAACTGTATGGAGCATGTACCATATGGAAAAATATGTGTCGGTTTTTTTTAAAAAATTACAACAAAATAAACTTTCATTTTAATTCCATTTTTCTACATGTCTGATTATCCTGTGTGAATGCATTTTTCTTTCGAGCCTTGGGACAGTAGGAAGCATCACAAGAAATGTATCAAGAACCCATCCCATGGTGTAGAAACAATTGACTCAAATTCCAAACTACACCAAAGAAAAGAAGTGGAAAATAAAGCTCCTTACATGATTAAGATGCTGTTTTGTTGTGTTTAATATACTCAGAGAATATTCAATCAACTTTCATAGTAAAATCAGTAGTAAGAGGTATAAATCTGATTATGAAAAACAGTGCCTCAAGACAGCTGAATTGTATCTTATAGCCATTTTAAGGTGGATAGAAGCCAGTTGTGTATAAGCTAAAATTGAAGTAGTCCCAGGATGTGGTTAAGAACTTGCATTTTCTAACAAATCAGTCACTCAATACCATGTCAATTAACTCCATAATGTTGTAAACTGGTGTTGATGTTATGTTACTGATTTTAATTGGTCGGGATGTTATTTTGCCAGCTCTGCTCTTAGACCAGAAATGGTCTTCCCAAGAAACTGTTGAATTTATCTGGATAATAAGATGCTGGACTCAATGCATGGTAGATGCTTGCAATGAAAGAAGCATGACTGGATTTGAACTGTAATACTGTAATAAGGTGGACTAATCCACCATGTGGGAAGGGCACGGAAGGGGTTGAGGGGAACCTCAGAGCCTATGAGTGATGTCATAAAATGAAATGCAATTTAAAAAAAAAAAAAAGAAATGCCTAGAGAAAAAGCTGGCAATTAGAATACATTTAGTTAGTGCTTAAAATAAAACTCAGGGGCAGGAATTACGGCTCTGAGATGAAGGTGGCTTGCCCACATCACATATCTGAGTGTCTGAGGCCAACTCTCACCTCTTCTTCCTATCCAGCCCTAAGAGCCTGGGGTGCCTGCCATGTGCAGGGGAGACCCAGAAGGTGTTGTCTCCTGGCTTTGACCTGTCTGTTGGTGACATTTGAAAGTGAACTAGGGAATGACGAATATCTCTCGTCTCTTTCCCTACCACTCCCACCTCCCTACTTTTCAAAGAAATAATAAAATAAAATCCTCTGAGTTAGAACAGCCCACAGTGAGATGAGTTGCATACTCTCCTCAGGAGTGTAGCTCCAGGGCTACTGCAGGAGCTGCAGGCTAGCTTGCCCTTTCCTGTGGCCCCCACACAGGCCACCAGGAAGCTGATGCCTTCCCATGCCCACTCTGAGACCCTGGAGAACTTCCAGGTCAAGACCTACAGAGGCCCCACAGTGATCACAGTCAGTGGCCTTCTCATTTTTAGACACATCTCCCCAACAGAGGGCAGACCCTGGGAGCCCAGAAAAGCTATGGATTCCTAAATCACCTTGCACCCATATTCTTTATAAGCACACGTAATAGAGAATTGTAGCTGCAAGTCATTTTGCTTATGTTAGAGACTCTAACTGAATTTGTTTTTATTTGTTAATGCTTTTCCTGTACTGGCACTGCTTGTGTTTCCTACAACTAAATAATACGAAGAGTGGAACAAGACCTTCCATACACAACTCAGATTTTTCCAGTACACCCAATGCAAGTAAGTGGTAAAATCAAATGCTAACCAGCATGCATACTTATATTTCAATTAAACTAAATAAATGCTAAATATACTTGCCCCAGAAACCTAGCAGAAACAACTTACCTGAGTATTAATAAGCCTGATTGTGAAAATTAAGTGCATTTTATAGGTGCTTTTTAAAATAGTAATTTAACCTTTACTAAATTGCCTTAGTTAAATTGATACCAAGATCTAAAAATTCAATTAAGATAAAATTATTATCTTATATTTTCAATATTTTGCCTTCAATATTTTGCCTTCTGTCTCAACATACCTGCCACTGCCACATTTTAACTAAACAGCACTTTAGTGTACAGCATGTACAAAGTGCCAGAAGAAAATGAGCAAAACCGAACTTGCTGCCTCCAAGGCATTTGCAATCTGCATAAACAAATGTCAACCCCTGAGATGCACGGGCAGCAAGCAGTTGTTTCATAATGGCAGAAAGAATGCATTTTGAAAGAAATTAGTGAGACATGTTAATAATTCTGAATTGTTGGTGCTTAAGCTGAAGGAAAGGTGCTGTCCTGTGTTTTTCAGGTTTTAAACTGTGAATCAGAGGTTTTTTTTAGCCAGTGAGTAAAACTGATTGAGTTTAACAGGTCCTGACACACTTGCAAATAAAATCTTTTTCTACACACAGTCCTTTCATATACAAAAGACTTATATAAGGGTGGAGTCTTACGTATACCACTCCCACCCGGCTGCCTCGGAGCATGCCGCTCCAAACAGCACATCCAATAGCTCCATTCTTCAAAACAAATGTTCCATGACCTCTGCTTCCATGCAGGCCTCGGCACCAAACCCACCTCCACCCCCGCCCGGCCACACCCCTCCTCACAGCATCAGTCTCTCCTTGCTTTCCCCTCCTCCTCTCTGAAACCCTGCATCTCCACTTGCTCCTCCTCCTTCTCAGGTGGAACAATGTAGCCGTGACCCCCCCCATTAAGACCTCACTGCAGACTTGCAAGGAAGAGATCCACAAGCCTCCGTGGGACAGCCATACCTTCTGCAGCAGATCTCCTTTGCAGAAGAAGCGTGATTTGGGCTTTATCGTAGCAACTTGAACAGCAGCTGCCAGATCATATCGCAGATCCATATAATCAAGGGAATCGAAGTTTTGTCCTGCTTTTTCTCTAAAGCAGGATTTCTGCTTCTAGAGCACACTGTATCGAAAAGAAGCTTGTGCAGCACACCATGCAGCATAAACTCGTGGCAAGCTCACCCCAGGTGAGGAGGGGTGGTCAACAATTCCAGTATCCAAAGCTGACAAAATGGAGTGCCATGACAATCTCATTGCTCTTCCCTTTTTAAAAAATTCATAATATCAATTACATAAAATTAGGTATATATCCATTCTTCACTGCTGAGCAAACACACTATAAATATGCTATTTCTGGCCTACCTTGAGAGTCCCAGTGGCAAGGCAAAAAGAAATGAAACTCTGTGGATAGCAACTCAGCAAGCGCCTGGCTCCAGAGCCTGCCAGGCCTGCCGGCTCCCAGGTAGGGGCTCTCTGTAGACCTGTATCTGTTCTTTGAGTGCTATCCCATACTCGTGCACTCAGTCACCTCACAGAGAGTTGCCAGTGATATTTCTGGACTCTCCTGCACGGAAGGAAGCTAATCATCAGACAGATGCTGCTGCATAGATGACAGTTTGTGGCCCTCAAACCTAGATTTTCTCCAACAGAAGCTGATTCTCTGTCAGTATCAGCCAAATATGCCAAGGAGCTTCGTCTAATCCCTAGTGTAGCAAAGAACAGCTTGGCAATATGAAAACACAACAAGCACACAATCCTAAAGAAAGGAGTATTAAGAAAAGGGCCATTGCTGTTGACACAACCTGAGACTAGAGGCAGGTCAGGTTAGGTTACATGGCAGCACCCACAGGCACATGCCACAACTGGAGCTGGGAGTGGCCCTGGCAGGGCATCTTCGGGGACACCCCTGCTAGACCACAGCACCTGCTGACACATGTGCAAGCTGGGGTGGGGGTATGCAACACCAGTCTGGACCGTAGCATCCACTGAGATACATGAGACCCTGTGCTGGGAGTGGCCTGGGATCTCTGGGGACACCCCTGATAGGATACAGCAACTGCCACTGCATGTGAGAGCCAGGGCTGGGGTGGACGGGACTGGGCTAGTTGTAGCACTCACAAGCACATGTGAGAATTGGAGCTGGGGCAGATATAGTGGGGACTTTTGGGGGTCATCCCAATTAGGCCACAGCAATCAACAGTTTACACAAAAGTTGGGGCTGGGGGCTAGACCACAGCACCTACGGTGTGTGCAAGAGCGGAGTCTGAGAGAGGCAAGCTACAGTATCCACCAGTATATGTGAAAACAGGAGTTGGTAGGGGTCACCCCACAGCACCCACCAGTATGCGCACAAGCAAGGCCTGGAGAGGGATGGGCTGGGCTACACTGCAACACCAACATTTGTATGACAACCAGGTTTTGGAGTGAGATTGACCAAACAACTGTTACGTGCATTGGCTGACGTAGGTAGCATACCGAGCCCAACCCTGCCCTAGCTGACATCAGGAAGGTCTGAAGGCCTCCCACGTGAAGGTTTTTAGGGGGCTCCCCAATTAGACCATTGTGCTTGATCCCTGACCTCAGAGAAAATCACACAGACATGTGGTCCAACTCCAGAGCACATGTTACAAGACAGGGCCACCTCGTTGCCGATCCTCATGCAAGAATGGAAAGCATACCCAGATGCACACGAAAGGCATGACAGCCAGCTCAGCTAACGCCAAAGCAGCTAGATCTGTGTACACACCGAGATGGACAAGAGCAGCCTTAGGCCATGGAAAGAACTTCATACCTCTGCTGTAACAAAGCCAACAATTTCTCAATCACATTCTTGGCACATTCTTGCCCACATCATGGCTTCAGATGACATTTCATTTCCTGGGCGATTCTGCAGTGTGACAGCAAGGAGCCGTGCACTTTTGCCCCATCCCACCCTCTGTGGAGGGATATGTCCCCCTCCTTGACCTTCTCTATCCTAATGGGAATTAGAGGCCCACATAGGTCTGTAGCCCCCTCAAATTTGTAATAAACATTTAAATTAAGTAAATAAATAAATACAAATGAAAGAGATATTGATGGCAGCAAAAGAAGTAGCCGTAAAGTACCGGGCAGGATGGAACAGCATGGATTTCAGAGAAAACCTACCTAGGGTCTTGCTGTGCCTCAACTCCAAAGCTCCACTGACGAGTCATGCAGCTTTCTCGTTTTCCTTGTCTGGAAATGGAGGTGACCACGTCTACCTGGCTGGAGTAACAATGGAGACACTGTAAGTCATAGCATCTGAGGCAGGCCAACCATAAGATGGTTATGATTGCTAGAGTACTAGTTATAAACCTGATGCTCACCTTATTCATTTGTTTTTATTTATCTTCATCCCGGTGCGTGCAAGGTGAGGACTTGAGCCACTAGTCTACCGTGCTGGGCCCCATAATAAAGTTTTACTGGAATGTTAGCATGGTCACTTTTTTTGTTTTTGTATGCTGTCTGTGATAGCTTCTGCTCTATGAAATGGCAGAAATGAATACTTGTGGCCTGTAAAGTGGATCATGTTTACTATCTCACCCTTGAAGGAACATCAGCCTCTATCCCATCTCTTCATGGTGGTTTAGTTTTATCATAACACTTTCCACTGTCTCCATTTTTGCTTTCTTGTTTTGTGTTTCCCCACCAAATGTTAGCTTCCTAATTGTAGATCTTACAATGTGGTAGTTCTCTATATCCCAGCAATATAACCATGATAACTAATACATATCAGTATGGATGAGTGAAATATAGTGTTCTTGAGCACTCAGTATATGTCAGACACAGACATAGTCCCCTAATCTGGACAATCATCTGGATGAATAGATATCAATGTCTTATTAATTAATTAATTAATTAATTTGTGAGAACCCAGTGCAGTGGTCTAGTGGCTAAATAAATTTCACCTTGCAACTTGCCAGGATCCCATATGGGCACCGGTTTGTGTTCTGGTTGCTCTACTTTCCATTTAGTTTCTACTTTCCATTTAGTTGCTCTACTTTCCCATGCTGTGGCCTGGAAAAGCAGTGAAGGATGGCCCAAAGCCTTGGGATCCTGCACTCACATGGGAGATCTGGAAGAAGCTCCTGGCTTCAGACTGGCTTAGTTCCAGCCAGTGCAGCCACTTGGGGAGTGAAGCAGCAGAATAAAGATCTTTCTCTCTGGGTCTCCTTCTCTTTGTAAATCAAGATTTCCAATAAAAATAAGTCTGAAAAAAAAATTTTTTCGTGATACATTTCCATAGACTCACAGATTTATCCTTCCGTCCTCCCCATTTATTCTTCCCCCTCAACTGATTTCTCCCATGTTATTATAATAATATATTCCTTCAGCAACAGTCACAAGTCCATTATTCCTTTTTTTAAGTGTAGCATGACATTGTACATATAAAGATAGAAAGCACAACATCTTATTGTTACTATATCTTTAATAATTTCATTGGTAGTCCATCTGACTTCCCAATAAAAATAAATAAAGCTATAAAAAATCTTAAAAATTATGAACACTGAAATCTAAATTGTATATAATTTTCTTATAGAATTTTCTGTTTTGTTTAACCACTCAAATCAGGAGACATACAAAAACAGGTCTTAGCTTGATAACCTTTTGCACCAGAAAGTTGACCCTGAGAGAGAGATGGAAAAGCCTCTCTACTCAATCTTATTGCTCGGAGTCTGTGAACTAAACTGAGAAAAGACAAATTATCGGAGCAAAATACAAAGTTGTTGATGTTTATTCATACATAGTGTTAGAAAATATGTTTAAAATTTGGAAAACAAATGACTTTTAGGACCTTGGAGAATAGATGGGAAATACGATGGTTTCATGACATCTGTTTGAGAACTCTACTATCCTGATGCTGACCTTGTGGCTCCACTGACAAAAGCCAATCTTCTCTGTTTTGGGAACCAATGGAAAGGGGCTTTATCATGGTCAAGGTCTTCTAGGAGGTTCTGCTTTGAATCAGATATGGGAGATCACAAAAAGCCTCATCTGGCTGGTGCCAAATCTCAAACACCTTCAAATCGAAACAATATTTATGCCAACATAATACTCTGCACCTCTGTCCACATCTTGTGTGCCATGGAATACTAGGAAGTAAAAGTTTAAACGAATTTTATAGATATTAATACACACTGTTGCCAAATGGCTTCTTCAAATGGTATTGAACTCACAACGTCAGGTTAGCTTGTTTTGACCCATCAAGAACTTTCTGGTCTGAATGCAGCTGTGCACCATTATACTCATATGTACCTGCTGACATCAGTGTATACGCCTCTGTGAAAACAGAACCAACCCAGCAACTGCAACCACCAGCTGATCGGGGCAATGGACTGTGCCGGGCCCTGTACTTGCTAGAACACACAAGAATCTGGTCTGGGAATACCTCAAAGTTTCTTTGGAGGTCTCTCCAATCGAAATGCCAGACTCAGAACCCTAACCAAGAAAAGACAGAAGACAGAACAGGTCAATCAACCACCTCAGCTATTTGTTGGCAGCAAAATACTGGGCAAATGGAGACTCTATGAGGGACTAGGTCAATCAGTGGATTCTTCAACGACCTCATCGTGCTCGGAGTGGCGAGACTGGCAGCGACTCATAACTGGTGAACTATCAAAACCACTTGAACAAGTATCTCAGAGCATGCCCCTCATCCGGGACTTTTGGTGGGTGGGAAACTGGGTGGGGCTTCCCCCTCAAAATAGCTCCCTTTACCTCAGATACATGAAGGAAACAATATAGAAATAATAGTCTTACCCACTTCCCTGTAGCCATTGAACCTTTTTACCCTAATTAACTATGTAAAGATTGTCAAAAATATAATTAAAAATTTGAAAAAAAAAGAAAATAAACAGGTAACCTACATTGCTCATGCAAGATTGTGTAGATTTGTAAAAGAGACTCTTTCTGGATGGGTGTCATGTCAGGATAGCACCACACTTGGCATTTGTCCCAGATGGTGGGTGATTTTCAGATGGACAAGTCTCCATAAAAGGTAGAGTAGATTGTTATAGTGCAGGGTAACAGGAAATAATAAAGTACTACTCAAATGCCAATACTACAAATTGGATATTGTAGAGTAAGCTGGAACACTTGCATGATTTTTATCAACAAAATTAAAACCCGACATTCGGACTCTTCCCTGGACAACTGAAGGAAATTCTTATTGTCTCAAGCTTACATGGGCGACACCTGCTTATTGTCATGAGGCTTGTTGGGCCAGGCGTAGATTCATGGAAAACCCGTGACCTTTAGGTCATGATTCATTTGCCCCAGGAAAAGCCAATCAATGGCACCAGGATCAAAACAATGGGAGGGGGAAAGGCCCTACAGCACCCACTCCCAACCATTTCAACTACACTGGAGAGGTACGTGAGAAAATATACCCCCAAATACCTTGGATTTTGTTTTTGTTTTTGAAATAGATTGTGTAGTATTGATGCCACTTTGAGCCATCTTTACATTGGTGTCTTTAAAGACTGTTCTTTTGAACTTACTTAATATTATATAGTCCACCTTGTGAAATAAGCTCAACAAAGGAAAAATACTTCATTACTGTGGTCCGTGCAGTGGATGTGGGGAACACGAAGGTGTGAAGAGTATTGTTCCATTGCAGGGAGGGCCTCAAGGAATTGCCCTCTGTATGGCAGGACCCACCCAAATGCAGCTCCACCTTCCTTTGCATGGACACCAGACCACCCTGCAGAAGAATTTCAATCCATTCAGGCATTGCTCACTACTGTGAAGTTGGCTTTTCACTCAAAGTAAGCTTGGAGGTTAATGTCAATAATAACTCCTGCAAAAGGGCCTTTTATTATTCATACTGTCTTGGCTCTCCCTGTTGACTGCATGCTAATCAAGGGATCTGTGTTTAGGGTTTCATTCTTTGATTTTTAGGTTCTCCTTTTCTTTGTGATACAAGATTGAGTTTTAGAATAAGAATTGTA